TGCGGTTTTAGATGATATTATCATATTTATAAGGCGCGGGTTACCCATCGTGGTCACCCGAAACCAGCATATTTAAGGGTTGTGGGATGAAGTGTGTAAACCACTGGTGGATTGCGCTTGGCTGCAAAAATCTGAGGCGTTAACGGCTCATACTGGACTATAATAGCTTTGATTTCAGCTGTATCTAGATATTAATTGAATTGTTGAAATCTGAGATGGTAATGACAATGACCAAAAGTATGTGTCCTTGTGGGAAACCTCGATCACTCGGTATCCGACTAGGCGTACGCCTACTCATAGTAGGCTGGATAGATCGGTATGGAGCAATGCAACTGGGTTTAGTAGTTATTGTAATTCCTTACAAAGTACTCCCAAATCCATAGACGGCGTGTTTTACTATAGGTAAACATGTCGCTTGTTAAGATGCTCCTCAGCTTTATGTTTCATACTTTGATATTAAATGTCTTTCTGGGATACGTGACTGATTAATATAGTAATTACGCAAGCAAACACACAGACATGCTAAATCGTAATTTAAAAACCCAGGGTTAGATCTAGCCCTGCGCAGACATCTCTTGGCAGTCACGCCACCTGGATTATCTGAAGCGGGAGCTCCAAACCCAAAGCTTATCGGCGACAACCCCATGGCTGAGGCTTTTAAAATAACCATGGGTTAGGTTACTGTTTGACTCCAAGGGCGTATATAGCCCTTATCCGCATTTAGCATTAAGCATCTCATCCATCATTTTACGCTTTTCTGTGGCGATGATCAGTTAGTCTTATCACTCTCTGCCCATATTTGCTGCTTTATCTATTGCGGGAATGTGTGTTATTACATCACTTGTAGAATTCCAGGTTTCAGTCCTAGTATATTACACTGTCGCTAGTGGCTTCCAGCCACTTGTATTATAGAGCACACGTTCGATGTGACATCAAGCTACATTAGAGACAGCATATTTTGAATTTTCCTCTGAAGGTTTAGCTCAAACTCATACGACTGCTAATGACATTCTCAGTGAAATTCCCCACACCTACGGTGGGCCAGATCTCTGGTAGCCAATCAGCTGAACTTCAGGCTAAAGTGTAAATACGTGTCGAATAACAACGCGACGATACCATAAATTATTCTTACGATGGTGCAGCTTCCCTGCTGGCTACTCAGAGGACAGAGTTTGATCAAGGCTTCACTTCCCAGAAGGATCTATGAAGCTGTTGGTGAGCAATGGCGTAAATGCGTGATCATGGTCATAGTCAAACCTTATGATGAAGTTGAGTGTGTCATGGTGACGCCGATTCGTCATCGACACTAGCCATTATTTTTCATTACAACGACAACGCAGTGTATCCTTTGGACCGAATTGAGGAAGGCAATCATAAATGCATGTGTAGAAACGTCCGTCTCTCATAAAAAAGCATGGACGAGGCTGTAATCTAGTGACTTAATACTCATAACGGTGTATTGTAGACTCCAGTTTACACAGTAGCCACCAAGTATTTACCTCCTATATATTTTTTGAGACGTCCATTTAGGATCCCTACAAACAGTATAATGGAAAACAACCCAGCCGCTATTTCTTGGGGCAAAAATCATCTTTCAGTTTTTGTTGTTGGGGCTGACAATGCTTGTTGGTGGAGGGGCATGGGATGGAGTTCGATGGGACAATTGGGAGACTCTTGGTGGCAAGTCCCTTAGTTCTGTCACAGCAGTGAGTTGGGGACGCGGTCGGATCGACCTTTTTGGCATTGGTGTCGACAAATGCTTGCTACCACAAATGGTGGGAGAGACCTTGGGGTCCATCTGAGACAGAGTGGCAGAAGCTAGGTGGAGTGTTCACAAGTCCTATCCGTGCCGTCAGTTGGGGGCCAAATCGGCTGGACTTGTTTGGCCGCGGATAGGACAATGTCTGTCTTCACAAGTGGTGGGATGGTGCACAGGATCGGTGGTTTGGGTGGGAGTTGCTAGGTGGCGCTTTGCTAGGTAGCCGCCCCACAGGCGTGAGCTTGAACGGGCTGGATGTCTGGCGTGGGGACTGATAATGCTTACTATCATGGAAGGTGGGATGGAAGTGGGTGGAAAGGATGGGAATCTTTAGGGAAAGTTTGAGCTGCTACCAAGCACTGCTCCAAGAGGAGAGGAGGCCTAATCAATAGTGGCCAAAGGAGGCAGGGCTCCAGGGACAACGTTCCTTTTATCTTTAATACTTCTTAGTTTTCGATTGAATATACTCTTTATCTTAATTACCGTGTATGTTTAATTCCTTTTCACATAGGCATTCCTATGTTCATTACTCCCTGCTTAATAGCTGTGTTCAGTGGATCGGCGAGCCGTTGTTGCTGGCCAGGGAGCTGAAGCTGGGCTTAGAAGGGATTGTCTTTGTTTATCCAGATATCTCGTTCAGGTCATTCTAGGTAGTAGTTTAGAGTCTACTATAGGATTTTAAGCATGTACTCTGTTATATGAATCGAATTGATTCTTGAGAACCCACCCCAAATTCAGTCTCGTGAGCCTGTTCGATCCCTGACTTACCACACGCCAACCACATGATCCGGCCCAAGAACGTCTCAGAGGATCGGCTGCTTCAGGTCATATTCGCTATGGAGGAAGAACAAGGTATATTTCAGGTGTCACAGGGTTACCACCTTCATACCTGTCAAATTATGATCTCATTTTTGTTTGCATGGCTTGTCATACAACTAATCCTATATTCCGAGCAAGTACCGCAACTTAAGAAGCAGCTATGTATCTACGTGACTCATCATTACGATCTTCCAGACCCGGTACCATATTTCAATAGTGCAAGGTAAGGTGGATTGATCCCCTCAGAGCCCATGCCAGTTTTGCTCACTCCCACGTAGGCTTGCGGAGCGCTGTACTAATACCGCTCGCAAAGCAACTTAGGATTATATACATCCGTAAGAAGCCCCAAAATAACCTCCATGATAGACCGCAATTATGTCGATCCCATCGTAGCCGCTCTGTGCTTGGGTCCATGAGGCCTGGGTCGGCCCTGGCCTCCAAAATCAGCTCAACAACCTCGTAATTGTGGCGCTAGCACGCAACAACCAAGTGGGTAGTCCGAATTATGCGGCGTAGTATAGTGCTCGTGTGGCATCAATACGAACATTGGGCAACTCCTGAGCCGGAAGGCAAACGTGTTCGGTGCTTCAAGTTGAGCTTTGATCCATCCGGGCTAGGTAGGTCAGTCTCTGTCCAGTAGTGATTCTCTATAGTCTGTGTCTTGAGAGGTCGCTAGGCAATATATTAGAAGATTAACTTGAAAATCTATTAGTTTCATGGATGATCTACTACAAATCCTAGTAACTCTCCTAGCTCTAGGCTCGTTATACCAGAGGACCTAATATATGTCTTCAGGGTATTGTTTAAGTTTACCTAGGTGTGAGATAAGGTTAGATCTAGTTCATGCCATATATTTACCTTCTATGCCACAAGACCAGTGCCCTTAATTAGCCTTGAATTATAGTCCGTATTGTCATTGACAACCTAGTGGACAAGGGAATTAAGATTAATGCTTATATTGTTATCAACATGAGTTGGGAGATTTGTAGATTAAATGACTAATTTCGTCGTGTATGAAATCAAATTTTACTGCCGCCAGAAATACTGAGTCGGACTTTCCACAGACCTGTAGATGTTATTTCGCTTTTGTCCCAATGGCTTGCCGTATATATCTCTATCATTAGGGTCCGCCTCCTGTGCAGGACTTAACACGCTAGCAAGGACTAAGTCCTATATGGGTGACCTGACTTGGAACAGGCCTAGCATGTGTGACTATGGTGCCCTAGATCTCTAGATAGCATCATGGCTAAAGCTATGAAGGAGGGGTTAGGTATAGGTGGCCCCCTAAGACATATTTTGCATAGCCAATCCCAACGGGCGGCTGGGGTTTGTGGTTACATAGCTAGATTAGCTGCCTGTGACCAGAACACCAGGATATACAGCAACAAGGTATACCAGATGAGACCAGACCATCCCAGTAGCACATTTGAGGCTGCCTCCTGGGCATGAGGCCGTCGTCCGACATGGGGATGCCGGGGCAGGTCATGGGAGGTCCAACAGGAGCGATCGGGATGGTCAAGTAGTATTAATGATTCCGTATCCTTAGGACATAGTACAGTATTAATATCATTATTATAATATTCAATATTAGTGCACTGCGTGCGACCATAGGGAGGGTGGGACTGGCGAGATGTAATCATTATAAAAGCATACTGTGTATCTTTTATCAAAATAGTCTGCCATACTTATTGCTGGAACAAAGTTGTAAAATCATCGTATTTAAATTGACTCCATGTTTTTCTGGTTTTCTCCTAATGGCTTGCTGTAAATGGAATGAAGCCTTCATCTGCGACGTACTGGTATGTGAAGTCTGTCATGCGGAATCTTACAATATATGGACATCTGATTGTGATCATGTGAAAATCATAGCATTATTAGTTTGGTTTTGAGACATTTCAGCTTTCTTCCGTTGGTTCAAGGATCTCTGTTTGCAACACTGTCCGACGAGTCTCGAACCTGACTTTAGGCGGAACCAATTGTTTCCCAGGAAGGCGAAATTTCCTGTTGGACGCAATGGTCCGCCTATTTGAGCCAAAAAAGCATTTATTAATAGGACTTGGTCCATTCAGTTGATCTGTATTTCAAAGACTGTCGTGATGGACCAGTCTGACTGATACTGGGGAAGAATAGAGAATACGGGCGCGTTCCTGATCCTTCAAGTCGGGATCTTTCAGGACCATTCAAGGTTCATTAAGGTTTGCCAACTGGATCTTGGCCACTGTATTCTGCATTTCCATTTTCGGGAGTTCAACCGACCTAGTCTACAAGTTGATCCTGATGTGAGCAAGAAGCGCAACGCTAAGAGTGACAATGGAATATTCATAGATGTGTAGTGGAGCGCGCAAAATAATACACTTTTATGAATATTCAGCAGTTAACTGACTGACTCAAGACATATATCCTAGCCTATTCCGAAGGGCGCTTACAACTCATCCCCATTCTCAATAAATAGATACCCAACCAGGCTCCAAGCTTCCTTGATCTCCTTTTCATACTTGCCAGCATTTTGAATAGTAAGGTCTGTAAATTCCTTGAATGTAGCATCTTCACTGAGTTTACTGCTTACTAGAGCCTTGTACCAAACAGGACCAGCAGTTTCCCAGGCAAACCCTCCAATCATCTTGCAAGCCTGGTAGAAGGCATGGTTTAGGATACCAGAGTTGATATAGACGCCACCACAATCATTCATAATTAGAAGCTTTTTGAAGTCCTTCCAATGCACCAGTTAGGGGTCAGATCTAACCCTACTATCATTGTAAGCTGTCCCAGGTGCCTTCATATCACATAGAGCTCTGCCATTAATGCCATCTGCCCAAATACCTTCCCCAATCAGCCAGTTGGATTGATCTGCAGTCTGTAGATGGTCTGGATCTGTAAGGATCTACGTCGCAGGGTAGATAACCTGTTGACTAGGTAAGAATTGGTGACGATAATCAATAGAAAAGAATGATAGAGAGTAGTAGATCAGTTCATAACAAAACTAATCCTTGTCTTCTCAAATATCAGACAAGGGGAATACTATTTATCTTCGCTGTCTATCCTAGATGCATTCAGCGATGATTCGAAAGCGGCTCAAGGTATGAAAACAGGAGGTTGAAAACAATTAGGACGCAAGGGGTGGCCGCATAATTAAGTGGCTGGGCTGTAGTCAAGCCTTTACAGGATCATTCCCCTATTACTTAGTCATAATTCCAAAGATATTAGCAAGTGACTCATTCAGGGCACCACTCTGAAACCTATACTTAAGTAGGCTTGAGTACTGTACTACCCCATAAGTAAGTTTATAGGTAATGATGTCCAAATCATCTATAAAGCCTTTAAAGATAGTACTATCTCCATTACTAAAAACCATTTCTCTGCCATCCCAGAAGGCATTCAGATAGTGATTACCAAAGTGCATAAAGCCGTTAAGCTTAAGGCCTTAATCATTGACTAAGTCCTGTTTAAATAATTCAAAGTAGAAGTCATCAGTCTTCTTAAATCTGATGTAGCATTCATTTGCGTCAAGACTTGGGTCTTACTCCTCAGTGATGAGAGGGCCGCCTTCCTGGATCATGATATCATCACAGGGTGGATCAGTTGAGTCAGTTGAGTGATGTGCATTATAGATCATACAAATTAAATGGCATATAATTCCTATGACTACAGGATGTTCAGCATCATGCGCAAGTATATAGATGGATGAATCACATTACTCTTCTGTTATAGCATGCCAGGCAATAGTTTCATGGATATAAGGTGGAATGATACCTTTAGAAGGCTGCTACTGGCTCTGAGCTGATAGGAGACTCTTGCTGTGCTAGATACAGATATTTTATAGTTCCCTTGTTTTATCAATGGTAGACTGACAGGCATTAATGACATGTTACAGTGCCTGTCCCATTTCAACAATCTTCTGGTGTATATGTTCTGGTACAATGCAACAAATTAGAGCCATACTGGTTTAGTGGCATATATACACTGGCAATACAGAAGTGGCAATGTTGGAATTGAGGATCAAGAAGTTTTGCCTGCTAAAGCACACTGCCTCCTATTTATAGGATTTTTGAGGCATACTATAATAAAAATATTTAATCTTCTTTATCCCCTATGTCGTCATGACTGCTCAGCTGATGTGCAAAAGTCCTGTGGCAAAGTGAAAATATACCTCAGCCTGCGTCATATGTATTGCTCTCCACAGCCTATATTCATGGACGCAACCAGGCGAGTCATTGTTTCTTCATCTCTGGCCTGACAGACCATGTTCTGGACCTTATTTTCCTTGGCTTTCATGGATGTGATGCATGGAAAAGATCTCCTAAGTACTGTGAATTACTACTTCTGCTGTCATTCCGCAATGGTGTGTGTCTCTCCCGGTTGAGGGATCTGATTTGGTGTAGAGTTCAGATGTCGCATTCAATTGTATTCAGCACCTGATAGTGGTATGCCTTTCGTAAATCAGGTAGCTGGCACAATGCCCTGTCGATATTTAAAACTGATTTAGTTCTCTTTAGCCATTTTAGGATATTTCTTCAGCAACCAAACATCCTGGTCTCAGTCTCTTAAGGTGGCCGTTTGCAGCAATGAACCGTATTATGCTCATGCGGCCAGTTTGAGCCAAGGAATGCCTTCAGCCCAGGCGGCTCCGTTCCTAAGGTAGGTTTAAAGAACCGCCACTTCTGCATAGCTAATCCAGTTTTATGCTACAATGTAAGACCAACAGGACTTACCTCAGGTGACGTTTTCAACACGACAATCTGTCAGTGTTCGCCGACAAACGCAGTGGAGCAGGAAAGCTGCTTGGGTATTATTGCTAGTGGCTGATAAACTCTGGGATATACATAGATACTATAGCATGATGTAATAAATCATTTGGGCTGGGTGGCATGGCTATTTCCTGGCCCGAAAATGCCAGTATGAGCAGCTGCGATGGGTCCTTCAACCAGATAGGCCATTGCGTTTATGATATGATGCAAATCCATAGTAACCACTTATTGAACTCTGCGCTCGATGGTGTTGTGTCGGATGACTGTTGTAGTAATGGCATGATTAAACAACACTTTGAAGACCAATTCCCCGTACAGAATACAGTCAGTCTCCTCGTAGCTGTGGTAAAAGCCGCCACAATGTGCTTTCTTTTTTCCTTTGGACGTATGACATAGACGTAGCTCAGCTCTGTCTTGTTCTAGAACTCATTAGGGTTGAAATACATACCAAGAACAAGCTTAAGATGCATACATAATTCTAACCGAGCCGACCAACCGACCAGCTCGCCCACCTAGACCTACCTCGTCAGGTAAAGGATATACGGAACTTTCTAGAAACCCTGATTTGACGAATCCTTTCACGAGGATGCTGTGGCTCAACCCGAGAGATTTCTTCGGTCTGCAATGGTTACTGTCCGATCACAAACACCTTAACCCAGTTAAGGCCCTGCTAAGAGAATAATGGTTCAACCGCCTTATTTGGAAACGTCATTTTTCCCACATTCATTCAACATATCCCCTCCGGCAGTCAGGACCATCTGGCAAGCGTGCTGAAGGTGATGAATGTCGAATGTTATCATGAGTTGTCTCGCAACTGTATATATGGGTGGCGTGGCTCTTCTCTTCTTCACGGCAGTCTATCCGACCGAGCAAGATGATGGTGATCATGCACAGTATGTTGAACGTATCACAGCTATCCGTTTGCAGTAATTGCTCTGGGCGTGTACTCCGGATTCCCCGGTTACTCCTACCCGTCAATGCGGATAAAGTCTACTGGTAACATCTAACGTTTATGGAAGCCCTATATCATAGGTCAAACTCTTGGCAGCCTGGAATACAAAGCATACCGTTATAACCATGATAAGCATCCTAATGTCACTGCTGGAGGGACAATAACCCTAGGTGAAACAAATCTGTATAGAACGTGATATGACAAGCACGCATTTAGTATCCATTATTCCGCAACATAATCCAACATTCAGCGACACAGCTGGACATAAATTTGAGCGAGGTCAAAGGCAGCAGATATCTTGCTACCAGCCAAAGTAAACCAACATTTCCGAATTACTTACTTTCTCTGGGGGTATTTGTGCCAACATCAGGGGGGTCGATGAGTAACTGCATCGTAGTGGCCCATGCTTTTTAGTAGTGGGTATGGCCACACTCTGCGTCGCCTGTAAAGAGCTTCTTGGACAACTTGGCAGCCTCCAGACAATGCCAAATAACATTAGTAGCAGTAGGTAATCTAAGGCCAGGGGGCTTTCTTTTTGCATTCACTGCACCAAGCCCAGTAGCGGTACCCCCCAGGCCTATATTTCGAACAGTGTATTGTCTGCACTCGTATATCTAACAACCAAAAAGCGAACTCCGATCTCATTCTGATTTTAGCAAGTAAGACGTAACATTACTCAAGCCAAAGGTTCATGGGTTCAGTACAAGCAGTGATAGAGATAACGATATTCACGTAAGCAGAGAACTTTTGTTACCTGGAGTTGTTGAAACTCCTCTTTACCTCTCCTACATAGCGTCTGCATCCTATGGAACCTTCACGTTTACAGCAGCAAGGTTTGGGGTCCCAGCTTCATGTCCAGCGTAGACCCTGCATCGACCTTCGGCACGGAGCCGTAGCTGATATGTAAGCGAAGGAAGTGTAGCATTCGTGGACTGTTGGCGCAAGCCGCAAGCAAGACCGGCAATATGTGGTGTTGCTAGCACTTTTGTCTTAGAATATAGTCAGAAAATACGCTGTAAGCATTCGACTAACCCATAGAAGTTCCGCTCATTGTTGCCGTGGCACTTGGACTTGCGATGCCACAGGAGACAATTTCTACTCCAGGGCCATTGAAGTCAAGAACTGTACTCGGTTAGGTCATGTAAAGTGTTAAGCCTGAGTAAATGCTCACGTTGACCCCAGTTAGACCACTGCGGCATTGAGTCACCTCGGTCTATCGCTCCGACTGTAAGCGCATTGGGAGCCCGGGCCGGAGTGAAATCCTTGACATCTATCTAGTAACGTGTCAGCAAAACGGAAATGTTACGTGGAATCCATCCTGAGAGAGATGAAGAGATGTCACGGAAAATATAACTTACACCGTTATTACCGGCTGCCACTGCAACAATCATTCCTGCCCGAACTGCAGCTTCGACCGCGTCATCCATGGCTTTGAAATTAGGCGGTGCCCGTCCTCCAAGGCTCAAGTTCATAACTGTTCTGTTGATATTTCCGTTCCGCGCGTCTTTCACTGCCCATTCAATTCCCTGAATAATGTTTGATGTTGATGTGCTTGAGGCATTATCCGGGAAGACTTTGACGGCAACAATTTTTGCGTTTTTTGCGACCCCATATTTAGTGCCAGCCAATGTGCCTGCGACATGCGTACCATGGCCCACCGTATCTGTGTTGCTGGCACCGGTAGGAATTGTTCTGCCCCATCTTGCACGACCACCAAAATCCTATTTGAGGACAGGTCAGAAACGGTAGTATTTTAAAGGCGGCACTTACCTGATGGTCAATTCTAATGCCTGTGTCAACAATGTAGGCAGTCACCCCCTGACCAGACTCGTTGTTGTCGTAGACATAATTATTATCTCCAGGGTTAAATGGACCTCGGTGTGAGATACGGGGCAAGCCCCATGAGGGTGGGTTAGGTTGAACATTTTGGATCTGGATGTACTGATTGGGTTGGATATAATCGACCTGTTTTTTGTTAGTATATGGTGTAAAATCCATGCTTTTTATCGTGTATAAAGATGGCCTTGTGGCGGATAACAAATTAGAATGAATGAGGGCCGCCTTAATTACCAGTGGTGATTCTTTGATCGACTGTACGACCGTCGAGGAGAAAGTCCCTGTGTACCCCCTAAATGCAGGGGGAGTCTCTCCTGATGTAGTGCTCTCCAAGTGTTGGATAGAAAAAGATTCAACAGCTGGCTGAGATGGTATGCCAACTTCGTCGTTTGACTGGGACTGAATAGATTCAACGTGAGAGGCAGCTTCCTCCTCACTGATAGTTGGCTTCAAGACCACAATATAACTATTAGGGATAATATCCCCCTGGGGTACATTGCCCGTAAAACCCATATTGGTTATTTGATATAAAAGTAAACCAAAAGTCTGAAGAAATCGTCTGTCGGACGTGTTACTCGGTCAGGACAAGAAGATTTTCATTCATGGGTTTGTGAATTTGTCCTTGTTTTATATGTGAGGTTTGAGCGATGCTTGAGGCAAGATGGATTCGCATGACACGCAGACCTTTGAAGCTGAAAAATCCATGACGAAGCATGCTCGTAACTCTTACGTATCTGCTTAACATTGCTCCTCAATGGTTCGTACACCACTTATATCTTTGAAAGTTCACTGAGTTAAAATCTCTGTTTCTGTGCTACCTATTCTGTTTGCATCACTACCACTAACTTTAGCTGCAGATAGCTACTACTCTGCATTGCCAGGAGACATCATACCAGAAGGCCAAGAAGATCCATGATGAAAAATGTTTGTAGGTCTTACATATCCACTCCATTGCTCCTCAATGGTTCGTACACCACTTATATCTTTGAAAGTTCACTGAGTTAAAATCTCTGTTTCTGTGCTACCTATTCTGTTTGCATCACTACCACTAACTTTAGCTGCAGATAGCTACTACTCTGCATTGCCAGGAGACATCATACCAGAAGGCCAAGAAGATCCATGAYRAAAAATRTTTRTAGGTCTTAYATATCCACTCCATTGCTCCTYAATGGTTCGTACACCACTTATATCTTTGAAAGTTCACTGAGTTAAAATCTCTGTTTCTGTGCTACCTATTCTGTTTGCATCACTACCGCTAACTTTGGCCGCAGATAGCTACTACTCTGCATTGTCAGATACCAGACCAGAAAACCAGGAAGGCTGGCCGGTTCTACTTCTAGCTAGTATGAAATCATTTTGCATCGGGAATCTTAACGTCATGCTCTTTAGTACGTCAGGACGAGTCTGCCACGAGCTCCAGAATTGTCTGTAGGTTTAGGTAACCTTATGTTGCCCGCACGCAAGTACAGTGGTGGTGGTGGTGGTATTCATATCCTGACCCCTCGCCTTTGGCGATATGAAGGATATCCATGAAGGCTATCTCTAGCTATGTTTATTTGCTGTGAACCATTACATCCGACGAATTTAGAGCCTCGTCTTGGCCTACGGTGGCCTAAGTGCCTGATGATCTGTTCTGCAGCCTCTTTGGCTTGTGGCTTTGAAACCTCTCTGATGCCTCTGCAAAGTCTAATATAGCACCTAAGATGCTACTGTTCTATGTGGCCTTGTTTAAACCTACCTTCTTTATCTTGCATTCCCCCTCCCAGCATATCTGAGATATTGTTAAACACACTTCTGATTTTCCTCTGTACTATGTTCCGCAGGCCTTTCAGTCTCAGGCAATCTACTAGCATGTGGACTACTGTTTCTTTAGCTCCACACCCACACTATTGTTCTCCTGGAGGTGATTGTCGCTTGTCATGTATTGCCAGCCACGAGTGGCCAGTTCGGAGTTGTGTAACTAGGCTTAACTTTGTGCTAGTGATCCATACATCCACCGCGTGCGGATTGATGGTAGAGCTGTATTGATGTGGTGGAGGTGCTCTCCCTTCTTAGATGCTTTCCATTCTTATTCCCACTCTTCCTGGATTTTGTGGTGGATGTATCCTTTCTCCTATGAGAGAAGGTGCTAGAAAGGATGCATCTTGTTAGGGCCAACTGCTTCTTTTAGCTAGGTGGTCTACTATGTTATTTCCCAGATCATCATAGTGGTCTGGGACCTATTAGAGACGGAGGGGAACCCCCACGTGTTTAACTCCCTGGCTGATTAGAGGATGGCCTGGATGAGCGCAGCCCTAACTTATTCTATGAATTTACTATTACTTATAGCATGGACATGCTGTCTGTAGGGATAGTTTCTGTCTTGTGGCTAGTGCCTAGGGCCCCTTGCTTCCTCTGTGAGATCTGATAGACCAAACTAATAGCATAGTATATTACCATGAGCTCTGCAGCATACACTGACTAATATTCTATTAAATCAATGCTGATCTGCTAGGACTGAATAATATCTCCTCCAGAGTAAAGGGCTACTGCTGCGGGCCCCAGATGGTTCTGTTGGCCTGATGTGTCAGAGAACACTGCAACACTAGCTGCCTTCTGCCTAGCAGAGGCCTTTTCCTTTGCCTTCTCTCTGTTTAGTTTGATGTTAATTTTGGTAAAAGCTGGAGTCCACCACTGTGCCAGGGGCTTGGGGTCAATCTTTTCCAGAGCTTGTAGCCGGGCAAGGTCCATCATCCGCATGGTTTCTGCTAGAGGGAACTGAGAGCCTGTTCCTATGTATAGGGTCCCACCACTCCCACCAGGTGCCTTTAGCCACGTTCCAGCACCCCCCTCACCTGGTAGCCACATCAGCCCTAGACCACCCCCTCCTGCCCTTATGGGGCCCTAATCCTTGCGTCCCTGGGTCAGTTACTGGGCCCACCATCCCCAGATCACAGCCAGCACTGGTTGCACCACCCTAGTGATACTCAAATCCCCCTGTACCTGTAAGGATCCAGCCCACACTATTATAGAGGCTAGGTAACCTGCCTGCTACACTAGCCCCTATACTCCTAGGATTAATGCCTTTAGTGCATAAGCATCCCAGCAGGGCCCCAGACTAGGCTATAACCTACCTAACTTTATTATTCCTAAGGTAGTTCCCACCAGCTATTATAGTGCTAACTGCAGAGGTATATCTAAACTATAGAGATATATATTACTATATCCTAACTACTATAGCTACTATCCTAGACTACCCTCCACACCCCCTATTCCCTTAGGGCCCCTGGCACTATCTTATTCCATGCCTGGGTCCCTCTAGGAGGCCAGCTAACTAGCTACTATCTGCCCTTAGCACCCTGGGGTACTGCACTAGTAACAGTGTTGTGCGCGGAGTCCATGGTTCCCATACTAATTAGGGGTGACCATCAGGTCTACTGACCATAATTCCTAGAGTCTATAGTTAGAGTCCACATCCACTCCTAGGAGTCTATGATTAGGTATATTAAAGTCTATATCTACTCCTGGAAGTCTATAGTTAGGTATATCAGAGTCTACATCCACTTCCTAGAGTCTATATTAACTTTATTTCTAGGAGTTAATATATATACATCCTACTTTCTTTCCTCTCTCCTAGAGTTATTTTCTCTATCTACTTCTAATAATACTACTCCTATACTTTCACTCCTGTAGAGTAAGATTAGATAATTAATTTAATAAGACTAAGACTACTATAACTAATTTAAGTTTACTACAGAGGCTATAGGGGCTAAGATTTTTATAAATTATTCTTATTATAAGATATCTATACTTTCTTAATTTATATTACCTATTATCTTATATATTAATTAATCCTAGCCATCACAACCCATACTATATATAGTTAATAGAAAGATAGAGTAATATTACTATTATATTAATAACTATATATATATGCTATAGGGAACTCCCTGAATTAAGAGGGTAGAGGATAATATTATTTAAAAATCTTTTACTAAGTCTTAGTACCTCCTCTCCCACCCCCTACTATCCTATGGTTGCATCTAGCTATTAAAGATATATATATATATCTATTAATAAGGTCTATATCTATAAATCCTATTACTTATTATATATTAAGCTTTATAATAAGGATAGGAATCCCTTATAGGAGTCTTCTAGGGGAAGAAGGTAAGATTAAATATATAAGTACTCTTACTAGAACCCTTATATAAGGTATATAGTTAGAGGTCCACCCTACCTATATATTAAGTAGACTTAGAAATATATTTCTAAAGTTTAATATTATTATAATTAAATTCTCTCTATTCTCTCTATCCTTCTATCCCTAATACCTAAGTAGAGTATAGGGGCATACACTATCCCTAAGCTACTAGTAATTATATTTACTTATAAGAGATAGATAAGCATACATTAGGTTAATAAAACTAAAGAACCTATCTATAGAGAGAACTAAACTAAATAATTAATAGGGGCATCCTCTACCTAACTTTCTAAAATCTATTTTCTATAAAGCCCAGAGGCCAAACAGTACTAAAGAAGGAGTAGTTTATTAAGTATAATAGTTATATAATACTACTATAAGTAATAAGAGGAAGGTAGTAGGGAAATAGCTATATAAAAGGCTATAGATACCTCTTATAGCACCTATTATAATTATTATGGGTAAATATTAAATATAGTAAGAAAAGAGCTATATAAAAGGCTATAGATACTTAGGATAGCACCCCTAGTAAATATAGTAAGTAAAGATTAAATATAGTAAGAAAAAAGCTATATAAAAAGGCTATATAGTCTATAAGTAGAAGGACTAATAATAATAAGGAATAAGTTATAGTCTTTTTAGCCTAGGCTAAAAAATAAGAGCTATATCTCTAATTAGAACTTATACTAAGTAGGCTTTTACTAGCACCTAGGGCACTTAGCTACTACTATTAGTGCTAGAGTATTATTGGTCCTAGCTATGGAGAGTAGTATATAGATAAAAAGTAAAGAGAAAGAGAGAAGAGAACTTATTAAATAGTATCTTATATTTCTATTAAGTCCTCTGCTAACTCTGCTTACTAGATAATAGTATAGTAACTTAGGAAGGTAATATAGGGCTAGGCTTATTAAAAGAAGAATTAGTTAATAATATAGTATACTATAGTAATAGTCCCTATACTACTACTAGTAATAGGGAT